ATATTTAACATTTTGTTTAATATTCTACTATTACAAATACAATGATTAAAAGTAATAATGTTCAAAAAATAAATAAATTTAAATAATTTATTTAAAAGATATTTATAATGAAGTTCTTTTTAAAAAAAATATTAAGCAAAATTAAATATTAAACGTGAAAAACGAAATAAGAATTGTTTATCACTTGGCATTTCATCTATTAAAGTTTTATATATTTATGAAGACTGATTATTGTAAACATAATGTTATCTATTATAGGTATAATAAACATTTAAGGTTTTTAAAGTTCAGAGATGTAAAATTCTTTGGATGTCTTGAATGTATCAGTAGATGGACCTTAAAGATTGTTCTCAGTGATGATAAATATATATGCTTTTACATGAGTATATATTGCTTTCTGATGTAATACCAATCTTATTACATGCGCGCACATACAGTAGAATCTGGGTCGTTTCGCTCTAGAAGCAGCCAGTCGATCGCGTCATCGATTTACTCGATGTATTCTTACGTCTTTTTTTCCTTTCGATCTTGTTCCCACGTGTAAATGACTTAAGACTACAGCTTAATACATTTCGGTAATCTTATTATAGATATTAAAAAATTTCAGAATCTGTTTAAAGAAGTTCAATAATAAAAAAAGTTAAATATATCATTTTTATCTTATTTTATTGTTCCTCTTTCTTAAGTAAATACTCAAAATGATGAAGTATATGGAATTTTTTATTTATATAAGATATTAAAACATAATTTATACACATAAGGAGCGCATATTTCTGTTAAGTTATTGATACAAAATAGAGATTAATTATTTATAAGGTGATGTAAACAACTTTGGAATTAAAAGTTCGGCTTTTTCGATAGTTTCTATTTTTCGACAAGATTTTATCAAAGAGATGGAATTTTTTAGGCGGCATTCTCAAACATTAATACGAAGATAATGGTTACGTATTCGATTATATACCCTGTCTATCTCGTTATTTTGTCAGCCAACACGCGCACAAATTTAACTGCATGATGAATATGGCGAATAAACGTTAACGCTATATGCATTTCAAGATAGTTAATTCTTTATTATGTACCACCTGCCAATTATGGCGCAACAGCAATTATAATTATAACAAGTATCAGGGAAGTATTTCTTTCAGTGATATGTATACCTATTTATGTCACAATTATCATTAATTCGTTTATATATTTCTAACTTAGAATTTATAGTTATAAAAGAGAAATATGATTTTAATTATTAGACTTTAATTATTAACCTAAAGCAAATTTATATTACACATTTTTTTAATCGTACATCTGATTTAATGCTATGTTGATAAATGAGCTGTTAATATCATTATTTTTAATATCAAAATATTAATATCTGGAATAAAATTGATTTCTTCTGGCTTAAAATAATTTTTTTTCAAAATTTCTAAAATAAATCTATTTTTTTTATATATATTTGAAGTGTTATATTAAATCTTGTATTTGAAGTAACATATAGAGGTGATATTACGGCTCTCCTCCCCACATTATTTACATTTTATACAATAATTTGGTTAATCAAAATTTAAATTTAAAGCTTAACAATTACATTCAAAGTGTTGCTCAATTAATTTTAAACTAAGTACGAAATTTTTATTACATAGGATGTATTTATTACATAGGATGATATTTATAAAAATGGCGACACTGAATTAATTAATGACTCGAAGAGAAACAGAGATGATAATTTAGCCTCTTACAAAAATAGATTCAAAAAATTTGGTTTTGTTTAAAAAAAGCACAGCGTTTGATTACAAAATTAATAATAAAATTAACAGTAAAATGTTTTAAAATGTATGCAAATAAATGTATATACGTACATATAACTTCTGCATATGAACTTAGTATTAAAAATAATATATGTATAAATTATAGATTAACAGTAGAGCTATTAATATAATTGATTATTAAATAATTATTTTGATATGAAAAGAGATTATGAGTAATCAATGCGCATAGAGGGTCACATTAACAAAATGCCATGCTATTGTTTAAATTTGCATAACTCAAAATATTTATACAGTCAAATAAAATATTAAATAGCACACACTCAAATATATTTGTGTAATAATATGCTCAAAATTAAGAAAAATGAAGAGGTAGCTAATTGAATATTAAAATGTACGTTAAAAATATTTTGAAATACTTGAAAGTAAAAATGTATTATAATAAGTGCTGACTATTGAATATTGGCATATTAGCGTCATGGTGTAACGGCGAACTACTGAACAAATAATTTCGTAAGTAATTAGGATTTGCTATATAGCAGAGATATTAAAGGAAGCCATCATATCTACGCTGGCCATAATCTTCTCCTCTAATTAGTTGAAAGTCAATCAAGAATGTCGATAATTCAATCAATAAAATAATTATAGTCAAGGATCCCTCTTGATTTTAATTAATATATGATAAAGCTTACTAAAGAGCTGAAAAATTTATGGAAAGGAGAGAGAGAGGAATTCTGCTATACAATTTAATATGTCATTCATTTAAATTTATATCTTTTACCTTACGAGGGTAACCGATGATGTCAATGTAAATGATGTAGATGATTTCAATAAAACATTCTGCAAACAGCTAGAGCGTTTAATATCGTTTTTTTTTTCTCGGTAATGACTTTTATAATATCCTTTCGTGAGTTAAGATGGTAATAAAGCGGCCGCATTCATTTAGCGTCAGGCTAGCTTTTACAAGATAACGAGAACCTTGCATGCCAATTATATATTTGTTATGATTTTGTTCTCTCATGTCAAACGCCGCGATTAACTGCGTTCGTTTAAAATGCGATCATTTTTATAATCCTGTAAAATAGTTAAGCATTCATAATCGTGTTGCTGTTCTACGCAATTATTATCTTCTAATTAATACTGAATTATTTATCTATTGAAACTTAAAAAAAATAGTACGATGAAATTGTGCGTAACTTTAATTTTATATCTGAAAGTTTGCAATATTAGATTTGATAAAGCCTTCAAAGTAGCTTGAACATTACTTTATCTTTATAGTTTCGATACAGGCGAATAATAAGTAACGCATGCAGATTGGAAGCTATGAAAAAAAGCATCGGACCACATTCCATGCATAACTAGAATGAAAACAGCAACATGTTGTTGCATTTTATATATGTATAATGACAAATGGATAACACGGAGCATTGCTTCCTTCTCTCTGTGACAGTGTGTAGAAAGTTATTTTATCACGATTTTATCGCTAAAATGTATAACGAAAGATGCGGAATTGGTAGGTCTGAGCAATACCTGGAGGCAAATTGTGCGCAATTTCTATATATTATAAAGGAGAGCGGATCGAATGCGTTTCGTACTAATGCTAATAAGCAATGCACGGGGATTTTATCAAACTTTCATCTTACCTATGACCAAATTTTTTTTAAGAATTATATTTTTTGTTAACATAAATGTCTCATTAATTCTTCTTTATCGATATAATTTCTAAATTATAAGCCGTTGAAGATAGAAAGCTTCTTTTCAAAAAAAAACTTTAGAGAAATGAAAACAAATAGAGTTTAGTAAAATATTTAATTTTAAGTGTAGTTTACTGGGATAAAAGAGCTTATAATTTCAAGAAAATTAAAAATTAATGTAATTTACTTGAAAGTATTTACAATAAGTTGTAGTAATATTGAAGGATAAATTTATCAAGAGATAGTAGTGCCTCATAAGTATTATTAGTTTACGTAAAAGTATTTTTTTTACAAAGATATTTAGAAAGTTTAGCTTCCGAGAAATAATAATTTTCTGTAACATTTTATTGAAAAAAAGTCGATTTTTAATTGATCGAAGAATTCATAGATGAAAGCTGGTCTGTAGGGTCACCTGCCGCATAACGTGACGCAACGCAATCACAACGTATAATAAATATAAATCTCATAATATCTGTTCGTATTATCTATTACGAGATATCTAAATAAATGCTTATTAAACATCAGTGAAAAATGCGAGAAAAAAATAGAGACTTCCATGAAATTCTGACAATCTTTATCTTATTAAATAATATCAGCTTCATTAATCATTTAATTGATGTTTTATATATATATATTGTAATTTTAACTTTGAACAGAGCTCGTTTGCTTATTTTTTTATGATACTATCCCAATCAGTACACTTTATTTTTAATATTTATTTAATATTTTTACAAATATTTTAAAAATATTTATTTAATGTAAAATTATTAAATAAATATTAAAGAAATGTTTTTTAAATATTGTGTGCTGATTGAGATAAAAAAATTACAATTGTAAAATTGAACAATGAGAAAATTACAATGATAGAAAATTAAATGATGATGGATGATAGGCATTCTTCTTCTGAAACTAATAGGAAATGTCGCGATATTCGATTTCTCACATATTCCATGAGAGTCCCTTTATCCGGCGAAATGGAGGGCGAAATGCAGTCGACGTTGGCATTACGTAAGCGATGCATGTAACTGTGCTGGCTGCGCCCGATTATGTGGGAAGCCGATCGCAGCGGCGTATCTGTGAAAACGGCACATGCACACGCACAATCGAAAGATCGAAATCGAATGTGTGATCACTGAAGCGTGACTTCGAGAGGTTTATGTATCCAGGCACGTACTTGTCTCTCTTTCTCTCTTTCTTTTTTCTCTTCTTCACATTCGCAGGATATACTTCAGATATCTTACATCCTACTTATATCTACTAGAGGTAGCAATTGGATCCAGAGATAGTCGGGCAGCTTTCTCGAAAATGCTTGTTCCGCTAGTTTAGATCGATCCAGGATTTCTCGCCTACACAATAGCAAAGAAATTCAATAAATAGAATGAGAAATATTCTACAGTTTATAAGGCGAATTTTTGAGTTTTAATATAGAGCGTATAATAAATTTTCGAAAAGAAAATAATTGATATTACGTTTTATTTAATATTTTATTAATAAGAGCAAAAAATGAGAATAATAAAAAAGATAGGAAAAGGGTTAAAAAAATAAATTCTTATTTAAATTGCAATGGATATACTTCCAAACACAAATATAACATACCTCCAAATATATTAAATTGATACAATAAATTAATAAAATTTATCAGTTATATTATAAAATAATTCCTTTTAAATAATTTATTATTTTAAAAGTAGGTTTACAACAACTTATAAGAAAAGAAATTAAATCAATCTCGGGATACTTTTTATGGAATAGTTAAATCAAGCATGACTTTAAATAAATAAATAAATAAATAAATAAGTGAAGAATAATAAGTAAACTTTCAAACAATAATTAAATTTTATGTCTCGTTTTCGTCGTCTCTTTCAATCATTGATTCTTCTATCGGCCATTTCCCCGCAGTCGCGGCTGGATCTATAGTGGTCGGTGGATCGGTGATCACAATGGGCTCAAGAGGTTCCACGGTCTGTTCTTCTTCTTTAGAGGGTTTTATCCCGTATTTATTATCTTCGTTTGAAATTTCTTCGATACTTGGTTTATCCCCGAGGCCTTGAACGTCTTGCGACAATTCCATAGTGACATCGGGCATCGGTGGTACCAGTTCCACCGATGGTATCATAGTTTTTATCTGGCATTGTCGGCCCATGTAGCCCAAAGGACAGATGCATCTAAAAGAAAAACGAATGTTTCCTAATATTTCTAAAGATCCTTTAGAATACTTTTCAACAAATTTTTTCTAATATTTCCTAATATTTCTAAAGAGACATACACGATCATGTAACTATTATACATTAAAATTGATATAAGCAGTCAAATAAACTCATTTATTGTTAAAACTCATTTATTGTTAAATTTTAAACGAATTTTATATTACAAGTTTAGAAATTTAAAAAACGGTAGAATACCACTAGTTCTTCCAATAAAGGAAAATTATATGTGATTAATTTTTAATAAAATAAAATTTGTAATAATAAAAATAATGACGTATTTATATCATGATATAATTATAATGTATAAAGATTAACGTGTAACTAACTTATTATATTTAGGAAAAAAAGTTGAATGTAAACCTATAATAGATTATTATTCGTTTTGCAACTACGATGAGATTGAATTTTATTCTGTCTTACCTATAATCACCATCCTCATGAGTCATGCTGATGCAAGTAGCGTTATTTCGACAAATATCGAGATGCTCATCACAATAAGTAAGCTTTTCGTTACACAGGTCACCGGCCCAACCGGGTTCACATCGACACTCCCATGGTCGTTTACATGATCCATGCACGCATCCAGGATATGATACACATTCGGTGCAATTGAGACCCGTCCAGCCGACGCGGCATCTACACGTGTTTGGTTGCCTGCAGCTACCGTGATCCCGGCTACATCCTTGCGCGCAGATCGCTAATAAATGCAACATTTTAGTATATTATGTATTGTCGATTTATTAATCTGCCTATTATAATATTATCAACTCTTGATTTATTATAAAGCTATTAAAATATAAAAAAAATAGAGTTAACTTTAATGATTGTATATCAATTAGAAAATGTATTTATAGAATTGAATCTTTGTTAAAAAGAAAATAGTTTTTGTGTATCATTTTTCTATGTTAATTATTTTATTATTAATTAAAGTGTTATAACTTTCATGTGTATAAAATTAAAATTAATAGAGTTTTAAATTGGAAATCAAACTCTGTGATACATAATTGTATAATGAAAAAGTGTTAACTTTAACTTTAATGTAATTATAATATTATATTATCATTTTAAATCTTAGTTTTAAAATATGTTATGTTTAGATTGAAAGTTTCTTAAGAATGATTCTTAAATAATTAATTTGATATTAATTTCTTTAAAAAATCATTTTTTAATTTTATAAAATCGCACACACAATGGTAGAAAAATAAATGCAATAATATTATATATTATATGTCTATTCTATCAAGAGATTTTTAAAGGAGAGATATTTCTAGAATTCCGAGAAAAGATTGTTGAACGGCACATATACGTGATTTGGGATAGCATTTTCTTTTTTGAATAAGTCTTGCGTATTTCAATGTATATTTTTTTTATATGCTAAAGTCGGTTAACAAGAATCTTATGTATATAATATAGAAAAATTCCTTCTCTTCCATTCTCTATTGTCTGAATAAACAAAAATAGAATGACTCTCGTTAATAGTCACGTTTCAATTTATTTTGAGAAGAGTTTCTCTTCTATTTGCTTTCGGGAATAAACTTACGTGTTTGACAAAGCAGTCCGGTCCAACCTGGATCGCATCGACACTCGAGGGGCCCTTGACAAGTCCCGTGAACACAACCCGGCAGAACCGCACACTGTTTGCACTTAGGGCCTTGCCACCCGAAACGACATCTGAAAGAAAGTATATATCAAGCTTCGATTTTTCTTTTTCCTACACATCAGAATCATGAAGAAAGATCCTAGAATTTAAATTATATTACGTTTATTGCATCAAAAGTTTTCAGTTATATCTAATATTATAATTCTATATCTTTAAATTTATAGAATATGTTTTTTTATATTTCTTTCATAATATTTTAATATTTCAAATAATTCGAATTTTTTATCATTCTTTATTCTATAATATATCTATTATTTTATAATAATTATTCTACAATACTACACACATAGCAGAGAATCTATCATTAAAAAAAGCCACTTCATAGTCAAGCAATAATAAATATTATAAAAGAATCAAATAAATACACAAAATTTGTTTTTAATAAGTCTAATATTTTAATAGAAGTTAATAGTTTGTAAAATCTTCTTGGTGAAAATATTTGCAACAATTAGAGCATGCACGTGAACGCGTTTAAGGAGGTACAAGATTAATCACCTGCAATCGCCGGGTTTGTCGCAGTAACCCTGACTGGAGAGGCAATCAGGCGCGCAAATGGGCTCAGAGCAGAACATGCCTTTCCAACCGGGATCGCAGGAGCACTCGAAGCTCACGTTACATCTGAAAGTGCAAATCTCAAAGTTAAGTCCCTGTCTGTCTATCAAATGGAATCGATCGATGGTCACGAGAGATTGCTCCAAGCGAGGAAGCGTTTCATGTTACACGGAAATTAGGCTCGTTCGCTCAACCAAGGTGAAAGCAAAGCGAAGCTGATATGGGCTGTTATTATTCAAGCGGCGTTCAATTTATATCATACGTGTACGGCATGATAAATCGTGCCGCATTATAGCCGCATGGGTGCTACATCGATATCTAGTATATAATTGTTATGGAGTTATCATATATGTAGAGAAATCGAACAATTAATTAGAATTTAATCTTCTCATGAATATAACAATGTTCGATTTTCGCACTTAGCATATGAAGAAAAGAAAATGTATCTATGTAAAATCTAAAAAAATATTTTTTAAGTAAAAGTAATAAAAATTAAAGTTTTCTAATTTGAAAAAAAAGTTTTATAAAATTGAACTACTAAAAAAATAGAACAAAAAAAAATCTTAATGATATATTGATGATAATCCATTAGTTTTTTTACATTAGTTTTTTTAATTAAAAGAATTCTAAACTAAATGAAATAAATATGAATTAACGGTAATTTAATATAA